GAGTGATTCTTTCCCAGAGATGCTTCCTATCACCAGGCCCCTAAAGTCAGGGTCTTGGAAGCTTCCTAATCCAACTCTATTTTATACACTTACAGTCTTATTTAGTCACAAATTAAGGTCCCCCCCCTTTCTGGAAGTGTCCTTCATCCTTCAATACTAGAATTCAGTGGAAAAAAAAAAAAAAAAAAAAAAAAAAAAGGAAAATGCTATCCTAAGTTTACCAACGAGTGTACTGTGTGGTTAGCTTGGTGCGTTCCCTTAGCAACCCTACTCTGGCTGCCAGTGCCAGTTGTCATTGTCCATTGGCTTCTTCTTGAAGTTACTCGTATTGGCTTGATAGCATTGCTTCCGTCTGTTACTTATTTCCCCAATCTCTCCTTCTTGCTCTGTTTTTTTTTTCTGGCTTCCCAAATGGGATGTTTGTGGTCTATGCCTCATTAAGATCAGCTACCAGAAGATTCCATGACCCCAGCTGTGTTTTCCACACCAGAATCTCCACTTACATAACTGGGGTGACCTCGGTCTTCCTGAAGACACCACCACCCCCACTTGCAGGAATATGCTGGATGCTCTCCCAGACCACAAAAAAAATCACTTCATCCCCTGTGCATCTTCCTTCATTTATCTTGTTAAATTTTTGTGCATCTCGGAGTCAGACTTGAAATCCTGTTTAATAACTAAGTCCTGAGAATCTTTCTAGACTTTTTGTCTATCTCTTTAAATAAAGCTTTTACTCTTTCTGTTTTTTTTAACTAAAAACTCCCAAGTTATGCTTCCAATTCCTTCCCCTGCATGCACACATCGCTACTGCCACCGCTTGACTCATATTGACCCCTAGTTTCAGTTCTCCCTTAAAACCCTTCCATGCACGAGTTTCCACTGACCACACAGCTTATGCTGGCAGCCAAACTGTCAATAGTGCAGACGTCATCTATATTTAAAGCTCTTGTCCTAATGGTTTCTCTGTTGAATTCCAAACAGATAAACACTCATGTGATACTGTTAGCATTAAAGGTCCATTAAGGGAAGGCTGTTTCCTTCTGGTCAAGAGAATGGACACTGTGGCCTGGGTGGAACCTAACATTCTAGTTGGATTGATCAATCGCTTGTCTTAGGAAGGCAGAGTCACCTAACACCAGGCTAAAGAGATGGGAGGAATATTTATCTCTTTAATGAGATAATGTACCTTTCCTTCCCAGAATTCCACTGTCTATGCAGCTGCTGAAGTGCTGTCATGTGGTTCTGTTAGGTCTATCTGCCTTTCTGAATCCTAACTCAGAAAGGTGTAACATTTCCTTTTTCTTCTTTTCCATCTCGAATGCTTCCAGAGCTTAAGTAGATTAACCTATCCCTTCAGGACCATTACAAAGGGAGCAGTGAGTTTCACATCACTGTTGAGATTGTGGAGACATATTTTGTAAGTCTGCTTCTTTTAAAAAGGTGAATCAGGGTTGGAGAGATGGTTCAGTGATTAGGAGTACTTGCTGCTCTTGAAGAGGACCCGGGTTCAGTTTATAGCGTTCACATAGTGACTCACAACCATCTGTAACTCCAGCTCAAGGGAACCCAATGCCCTCTTCTGACCTTTGAGGGCGCCAGATATACACATCCATAGATACAAGCAAACACTTATACACATGAAATAAAACAGTTCTTTAAAAGATAAAGAAAACTGAAAACTGGCCATCAAGATGACAATCAGTGAAGGTGTTAACAAACCTGAAATCCTGAATTCAAGTCTTAGATCACACAGGTGGAAGAAGAGAACAGACTCCTTATCCTTCGATTACTATGTGCAAGCTGTGGCCCCCAAATACTTTCTGTGATTAATTTGTTTCTTATTGGCTAGCTCTGTCTTAATTATTAACCCATTTCTATGTATTTCCATGTGGTCTTACCAGTGAGAGGCGGCTGGCGGTTCTGCCTTCTCCAGACTCTCCATCTTGACTCCTCCTTACTACTTCCTATTTCCTCCTTGTCTCCTAGTCCCACCTATCTTGCTTTCCTATTGGCCAACAGTGCTTTATTCATTAACCAGTATGAGAAACATATATACAGAATGACATCTCCCATCACAGGTATGTTGTGTCTTTAGTCTCATTGAATTCTATGAAATCTTTAATTTCTTTATTTCTTTTTTCAAACAGGAATAGTCCAATTGGGCACTGTTCAGTTTCTATGAGTTTGCAGGTTTTCTGCTATTTGTGTTGTTGTTGAATTCCAATTTTAAAGCATGGTGGTCTGATAAGATACAGGGGACTATTCCTATTCTATTGTATCTGTTGAGGTTTGTTATGCTACCTAATATGTGGTCGATTTTAGAGAAGGTTCCATGTGGAGCAGAGAAGAAGGTATATTGTTTTGTGTTTGGATGGAATGTTCTATAGATGTCTGTTAATCTCAGTTGAGACATAACTTCTGTTAGTTCTTTTGTTTCTTTGTTGAGTTTCTATTTGTGGTCCTGTCTAGTGTTGAGAGTGGTGTATTGAAGTCTCCCACTATAAGTGTGTGAGGTTTTATATGAGCTTTGAGTTTTAGTAGCATTTCTTTTATGAATGTGGGTGCCTTTGTATTAGGGGCATAGATGTTCAGAACTGAGACTTTGTGTTGATGGATTTCTCCTGCAATGAATACAAAATGATCCTCTTTATCTCTTTTGATTAACTTTAGTTAGAAGTCTAACTTGTTAGATATTAGGATAGCCATGCCTGCTTGCTTCTTGGTTCCATTTGATTGGAAGATCTTTTCCCAACCCTTTACCCCAAGGTAATGTCTATCTTTGAAGCTTAGATGTGTTTCTTGTATGCAGCAGAAGGATGGATTCTGTCTTTGTATCCATTCTGTTAGCCTGTGTCCTTTTATAGGAGTGTTGAGGGAAAGTAAGTCCCATTGATTGTTAATTCTTGTTTGTTTTACATTTGTTGTTGTTGTTGGTATTGTGAGTATATTTGCCCCACATTTTCTTTGGGTTCTGGTGAAGTGGGATTATCTATTGCCTATGTCTTTGTGAGTGTAGTTCACTTCCTTGGGTTGGAGTTTTTCTTCCAGAACTTTCTGCAAGGCTGGATTTGTATATGAGTATTGTGAAAATCTGGCTTTGTTATTGAATATTTTTTTTCTTCATCTATAGTGATTGAGTGTTTGCTGGGTATAGTAACCTGGGCTGGCCAGTGGTCTCTTAGTGCTTCTAGAACATCTATCTAGGAACTTCTGCCTTTCAAAGTTTCCATGGAGAAATCAGGTGTACAATTAATAGGTCTGCCTATGGTACCTTGCTTTTTTCCTTTGCTGCCCTTAATATTATTTCTTTATTCTGTATGTATGTTAGGTATTTTGGTTATTATTTGGCGAGGGAACTTTCTTTTTTGGTCCAGTCTATTTCATGTTCAGGATGTTTCTTGTACTTTCATAGGCATGTCTGTCTTCAGATTGGGAAAGTTTTCTTCAGTGGTTTTGTTGAATATGTTTTCTGCTCCTTTGAGCTGGTCTTCTTCGCCTTCTTCTATGCCTATTATTCTTAGGTTGGTCTTTACATGGTGTTCCACATTTCTTGGGTGTTTTGTGTTAAGGATTTGTTTGATTATGATTTTTTTGGTTGATGAGTCTATTTCATCTAGTTTATCTTCAGCCACTGAGATTCACTCTTTGATCTCTTCTTATATTGTGTTTGTTATATTTGCATTTGTAGTTCCTGATCATTTACCCAGTTTTTGTATTTCCAGCATTTCCTCAGTTTGTGATTTATTTATTGTCTCTCTTTCAATTTTCATGTCTTGAACTGTTTGAATTATTTCCTTCATCTGTTTGATTGTTTTCTTGGCTTTCCTTACTTTTTTTAATACATTTGTTCATTCCTTGCATTTTTTTTTTTTTTTTGGCTTGGTCTTTCCCTCTATTTCTTCCAATTTTTTGTTTGTTTGTTTTTTCTTCCATTTCTTTAAAATGATTTTCTTGTATCATCCATCATATTCATGAAGTTATTTTTTAAGTCATTCTCTTCTGCTTCACCTACTTTAGTGTGTTCAGGTGTAGTTGGCATAGAGTCCCTATATTCTGGTGGTGTAATACTGTTCTTTTGATTGTCAGGTGTTTTCTTGTATTGCTGTCTTTGAATGACTTCTTCCAGTGAGTGGACTCTCTCTCTTCCCTGCTCTCCTGGTGGGTGTAGGTGGGTCAGGATTTCAATGTCTGTTACTCTGGATGATTCAAGCTCTCTTGGAGGTCTCTGTCAGAGGGCAGGCATTTGGCCCCAAAGATCAGGTGAGTGCTGGTCCTTTGTGGATAGGCAGTTTCAGAATGCTCAGAGCCAACCCAGGAGGTTCCAAGGAAGTGTACAGGGTGTTGGACCTGTACCTGGAGCAGTGGGCCCAGCAAGACTAAGGGCGAAGGGTAGGCTGGCTCTGGGTGGTGTATCCCATTAGTGGTCTTATATGACATGGAAGAGAGACTTATGCTACCACACTTAAGATGTTTCACCACGTGATAACCCATTTCATGTCATGACACACAAAATCAAGCTCTTACCAGATGTTACAGGGATGCCAGCACCATGTTCTTGACTTCTAGGTTCCAGAACTACGAGCCAAATACACTTTTGTATTTTAAAGTTTGGAGTCTCAAGTATTTTTGTTACAAAATCAGAAAATGGACAAACTCTTCTTTGACAATAAAGCAATCTCAGAGTCTGCTTTATAACACCCTTTAAGAGTATAGGGAAAACATGTGCTCAGTTTAGTAGATTAAAACAGTGAAGAGGACCAGCCCTTGCTTTGCAGAATTTCCTTTGGTTGGAAATCACTTTAATGATGAACTGAGAACATTCACTGTCTTTCCCGATTAGTAGATACATTTCCCAGAAACATATCTGTAACTTCCAAACAGTCCCAGCTGGCTGCAGCAAGGGTCTGTTTAACTGACAAAATGCATCTGGCTTTAAGGCACAGATCAAGTACAGAGGCAGGAGCTCTATATCCCTAGAGAATCCAGCTGGGGTAGAGAATCCAGCCAGTCTCAGTACAGCTGGCTCTATAAATGAGTGGAAAAAGAATCCAGAGCAGGAGAGGCTGTGGGGGAGACAAAAGCCTGTCTGTCTTTACTGTCAAAATTTTCTTGTTCTTCTGTGCCCCGAATGTTTCTCAAGTATGAAGGTAAGTTAATAATTTATGATTTACATATTTAAGGCATCTCAGAGGGGTCACACTTAACTGAAAGAAATCAGATGAAGAGAAGGATATGGAAAATACAGTGAAAAGGTCTGGGAGTGACTTTAAAAATGACCTTATCTAAATAGATTTTTAATAGCTCAGCCAAAGTGAATTGGGTTTCCTCATTTTGCAATTCAATTATAGTCTGAAAGAGGTGGCTAAAAGGAATTGAAGGCAATGTTTATGGAAGTCCAGAGAAAGCAGTAAAGGAATAATACAATAAGACCATTGTCACTTCTAAGGCTGTTTTCTCTAGCTTGATTGTTTATTTTAATTGTGGGCTATGTAGTGAGGTTTTGATTGGATGATATCAGAGCTGTATGGAAAACTGAATTTGTGGCTTTGGAAAGTCAGACTTCAGAATGTTGGATGAAAGAGTTAGAACTGCGAGGGCAGACGATATAAGGACATGCCAATGAATTTGTCATACACACAGGTTGGACTAACATAAATATGACAGATATATTTAAAAAGTTAATGTGCACAAAAGACAAAAGATAGAAATTGTTATTATAGAATAAAAGTTTAGGATATAAAAACATGTTGGAATTGCTATTGTAATGTATGTCTCTCTCTCTCTCTCTCTCTCTCTCTGTGTGTGTGTGTGTGTGTGTGTGTGTGTGTGCAGGCCATAGGGTATCTTCCTCAATTTTTTTTCTTTTCTTTTCTTCCTTTCCTTCCTTCTTTTCTTCTTTGAGATAAGGTTTCTCACTGAAACTGGAAGTCACCAATATGGCTACACTGGCTGGTTTGCAAACCCAGAGATCCTCCTGTCTCTTCCTTCCCAGTGCTGGGATCATAGGCTTTTTATGTGGATGTGTGTGTGTGTGTGTGTGTGTGTGTGTGTGTGTGTGTGTGTGTGTGTGTGTGAGGTGGCATGGAGGAGAGTGTCTACAAACATCAGGTCCATCAGAGTGTCTACCCAGGGGAGGCAGGAAGGAAATTCAGTTCAACACAACTCAGTAGTCTATCTTGGTTCAAACTTTCAGAGTATGAAACTGGATGGTTTATTTTAGTCCTATTTAAGTGCAGCTCAATTTGGAAAAAAGTTTCCTTGTATAGCGCAACCCTGTGTGCTTAAGACACAATTGCATTGAACTTCTTGTAACGTACAAGTGACATCTTCTATAAAGATAGGTTCTGTAGATCAACTAAGGAAACAGATACAAGGAGAACAATGCTCATAGTTAGGGTATAGGGGAGAATAATCTTGTAGATTGGCTGAGATAAAAAAGCTCAAGGTAAAGGTCAGAAGTACCCAGTGCAGCCTAGCCATCCAGATAGTGCAGAGGCTAACAGGCTATTCATCACATCCGTTCCCAGCCTTCTGGGTAGAACACAGGTTATACATCTCTCTGTTTGAAGAGACAACCCTGTGTATTTGACATTCTTGTTTTCCCTAATACTTACCTGTGAGCACATGGATCTATATGCCTCCTATGTATTCTGGGGATAAAACCCAGATCCTTTTGTTTGCACAGCAGGTCCATCACCAATTGAGCCATCTTTCCAGACCAAATTTTATTATTATAGATTTGATATTTAAAATAGAAATGTTGTACTATCACACTTGAAGGAACAATTCTGCTGTTCTGTCATCTGTGGGATTGCCCTATAGGCACTGTGATACCTACTTGTTTTACAAAATCTGCTCATTAGTGAGGCTGGAGAAGGACCAGGATGTAGATCTTCAGTAACCTTTGAATTTTATAGTTAATAGTTGAACCCAAAGTTACAAAATTGATACACTTAAGGCTACAATGCTACAACACCAAGGCAATCTACAAAGCTAGATTCACAATATTTTTACTGTGCTTTGTAGGCTTTAATAATTCAGAACACTTGTTAGTTGAAGAAGGAATATGATATGCTTGCTAAAGTCACCCACCCAACTTGTTTTCCCTAATATTTGAATTGACTGTCAATCATTTTCCTTCCTTATTTTATGATGAGACATCTTAATAATTGTTTTGTTTAAAATGTGTTTCTCCATCATTAATTTATGACATTTTAATGTTGAGGTAATAAATATACTGTTTTATTTTAATTTGCTGATAGGATGTCAACAAAGGAAGCAACGGTTTCACTCCAAGATGCTTGCACAATTTCTGCTTATATTTAAAAGTAGATGTTTACATTCTTAGTGTAAACCTCAAAGGCATGCCTTTGTGGTATGTTTCCAGCAAGGGAGATATGTGAATACCCTGACCTATCAAATAGCAAGAGTGATCTCTATGTCTGGCATTTTAAGGAGGAATAATCTTTGACCTCCTTCTCCATCCAAGTGAGCTAAACTTGGGGAAAATGGCTCCAGAATTCCCCTTGATTCTCTGGGTGTCACTTGAATAGGTGGCAACTTGGGGCTGAGTTGTTGAAGAAGAGTTCAGAGCCAAGAAGCTTCCCTCTGAGCTAGCTACAGGCCAGTGACATAGTCTGGCTCCTTGGTCTGAGCTCAGCCCAGAACCAGGGAAACTAGGGAATAGTCCACGCTAGGCACAATGATGCCTCAGATCAGCACTTCAGCTGGAACCAGGAAGAGCTGGTGTTCATTTGGGGACGAAAAAGGTGCTGCAGGTCTAGCTGAGTGTCACAGACACAGTTCTTTCCCTATTTTTCAACATGGCAAAATCTAAACTGATTATTTATAGTCAGCTTGTGCACAGGATTGTTCTATTTTCATGTGTATTCTTCTCTTTCTAAAGGGCAGGAAGACAAATTGCTCCCGATTTAGGAATTGTCTTGGTTTTCTGTTTAAAAGTACTCTGACAAATGCAATTCAAGGAAGGATGTATTTTAGCAAATCACGGTCCTTTGTGTGGGGAAGTCAAGGCTGTTGCTGCTGGTCACATGATATCTGTGGTCAGAAGAAATCAGTGAAAAAACCCTAATGCTTAGTTCCATTTCTCCATTTATACAATCGAGAATCCCCTGCGAATGGTCCTCGCACTATTCTTTTTTTTTTCTTCAGACTTTTCCATTGGCCTTTCTAGATATTCATGTCTAGTAATCTTCCTTTCAGTTACAAAGTCTTATTTGTTTACCTCTGTCCCTTATACATCTACAAATCTGCCCTTTGTTACATGTTACACACACACACACACACACAGAGAGAGAGAGAGAGAGAGAGAGAGAGAGAGAGAGAGAGAGAGAGAGAGAGAGACAGAAACCTGTTGGGACCATTTCATGTTCCTCTTGTGTACATGTGTTTAGTGCCCACCCCTTGGGATTAGATAACTCAGGTTCATTCTTGTAGAAAACTGATTCTCCATTTGTCAGCAGCCATCGATTGCTCTTCACTGAGAGTTAGGGTCTTGTGAGATTCCCTCAGCCATGTTAGCATGTTGGTCTTGCTTAGGCAACAATAGTCTTGAGATTTCACAGGTGCAACTTCCCTGCCATGTTTAGAATACACTATCTTAAGGCAGGTGTTGCATTCCTCTTAAATGTCTTTAATCTTTCCACCACCCCTTCTACCATGTTCCCTGAGCCTTAGGTGTAGAGTTTGGATTGTAGATCTACCAGCTGGGGTTAGGTATGGTATCCCACAGTCAGTCCGTGTTCATTCGCCTTTTTACTTCTTTGAGTTCAGCAGTTTTAGACAACATCTATAAATGAATTTTATCTGATGGTATTTCTCTTTTTTGTGCTTGGCTTATTCAACACACTACTTTCTAAGTTTATATGTATTGTTGCAAACAGCTTTTTCTCTTTTATGGTTCTGTGGTATTCCATTGTGTGTGTTTTCTCCTCCTCACCCCCTACCCCATATTGGAGATCAAGTAGAGAGTCTCATGCAAATTAGTTAAGCACCAGTGAGCTACATTCCTTATCTTCCTATCTTTTTCTTAATTCCTGCCTTATTTTTCTACCTTCTCTTTCTATCTTTTTCTTAACTCTTTCATCCAATGATAGACACTGTTAGAGTTCTTGTTTTAGCTTTTAGGACTAATACAATATGACAATAAATATGGGAATGTACATATCTCTTTTGGCATACTGATTTCATTTTATTGGGATTGCAAAAATCATATGGTAGCTCTATTTTTTTTTTCTGTGCTTTCCATCTTTATTTTTTTTTATGCATATAGAGTATTTTTTATTTAATTTTATATAACAAAGTCCAATTAAATGAAAACAAACATTTATACACAATATTTGGGAATTTGGGCGTCGTTCTTTCCAAACTACTTCCTGCTGGTAAGGGGCGCTGTCTTGGGGGATTCGAAGAAGATTCAGATATCCTAGCTGTAGTCTGTAGGGCTGTTTTGTCCAGCTGTTTGGAATGTAGGATCAGCTTGTACTCTGTTTCAGGCGGTCTGGTGTGATCAAACCACATTAGTCTGGAAGGAATCCACATCTTTTCATTTTCTGTGGAAACAAAAATAGAAGTACTTTTCCCCAGTAACTTGTTCTTCAACTTAAATTTTGGAGTCAAAGCGTTTTTTTTTTTTTTTTTTTTTTTTTTTATTATTATTTTACATGTCGATCCCAGTTCCCTCTCCCTCCCTCCCTCCCTCCCCCCAAGCCCTCCCTCCCTCCTTCCCTCCCTTTTGCCCTCTCTACCCTCTCCCATGCACTCTAAACACCCTCCCCTCCCAACCCCCCACCACAATACAATATGTAGGGGAATGCCATCCAGTTGGGGTCATGTAGATCTGACAGGTCCTGTGAAGTAGGGACTAGGGCTTCTCTCCTATCTCTAGAATAAGGCAGTTATCCCTCCATGGGGGATATGTTTGCAAAGTCCTTTTGTGCACCAGGGATACATCCTGGCTCCACTGTCTGAGGTCTCTTAGACTGCTCAGACCTTCTGGCTGAGACCCATATTCAGGGGGTCCGAGTCAGACCCCTGTTGGCTTCCCAGCTATCAGTCTAGTGGCCCTTAGCTCCTCCTTGTTCAGGTAAGCTGTCTCTATGTACTTCTACCGCATGGTCTTGTCCTC